AAGGCCACGACACAATTTTCTTCGTTATTGTGTGTGTGAGTGTGTGTTTGTACTTGTGTGTGTGTGTAAGAGTGCGTTTGCTTGTGAGTGAAAGTTGTGAAACTCTTGAGAGAGGCATTCAAAAGCAAAAACATCGCGCTATTTGCCAAAAACTTTTTCAATTTGCTGCTGGAAAAAAGAGCAAGAGATGAGCAAAAATCCTGTGTTGCTCATTTGTTGCATTTAAAAAGTAATTATTTGTAATGGAAAACGAGAAGAGGAAAACAAACAAAATAAACAGGAAAAAAACAAAACTAAATCTATAAATAAATATACATATTTTACTAGTCAAAAGAATCCCATTTATATACAAAATGTAATTTAATAAGCTAAAAGTAACGGACTGTCAAATAAAACTATAATTTTTCTCGATAGCCAGTCTAAACTTTCTTGTCCTGTAATGACAGGATTGAAAATTGTTCTTATTTTCTCAGCTATGAATATGCATTAGTATAAGTGTGGGTGTTAACGAGTTTTTGTGTAGTTTAGGAAACCCTTTTTGCGCAATTCATTGGATTATATGCCTTTGCTCCCATCTAAATGTAAATGGGCAATTGCAAAATAATAAGGATGTAAAGGGGGGAAAATAGAAAATAAAATAGCAACCAACCAGCTCAAAACTTGTCTATCTATGTGTTTAGAAAAGTTTTTGCCAAGCTGGAAAGGGCCAAGAGAAAAGTGGAAAGGAAAACAAAAGAGTAACGAAACGAATTTTCAATTTCGTTGTCTAAATAAAGCCGTAAGTTATCTTCCAGCTGGAAAATTGAGTTTCCCCCTAGTTGAGCTGAGTCGGCTTTTCTTCCCCTTCCCCCCTTCCGCCTTTCTTTCCATTTTCCCCTGCAGGCGAAAGTTGCAAGTGCATGTAAATAAATTAGGACTCCCTCCCAGAGAGATTCCTTCAAGCAATTATTGAGCAATGCCAATGCTGGAAAAACAAAGCTGAGAATTCTGGGATTGGCTAGGGCTATCAATTTTCCAGGGATTGTGGTTTGTTTCCTTTGCTTTTGCCTTTTCCGTTACCGCCCACCAAGCCAACCAACCAACGAACCACCTAACCACCCAACCCCCCTTGTTGGCCAGACAAACTTTGGCCATTTCCTGCAGAAATACCCATGCAAATGTTTAGCAGGCCACTTGGCTCCCGAAATGTAGCATTCACAATGCGAAATTTGTGTTAAGGGGTCGGAGAGCACAGGGTCAAAAGTGGTTACGTAAAATTTTTAAAAGGGCTGAAAAGGAGAGGGAGAAGTGGTGGGGGGTGAGGGGTGGTAAAGTGGGCCAAAGTGAAAAACCCCAAACCAACAACAGACACGAAAAACCAAAACTTATCCCTGGCCAAGGATTTTTTTTGCAAATGTTTCTGGCAACTCGGTCAACTCAAGTCACGCACTTTGCGAACATTGTCAAATCGACAATTTACTCGTTAGCAGAACTTTTTCTGCTGCCAGTAAAACTTGGCCAAAACAGCTTCTGATGTTGCTTGCTTCACAAATTGAAAGCTCCTTGTATTTAGTTTCGAAATTTATTTACTAAATAAAGTCGTACAGGATTTAGCCCGGATTTGTTTTGGAAAGAGAATGTATGTATGTGGGTGGATTGTTCTTGAGTCTGTTTTATGATGGCAATACACTCGAAGCGAAATTCCAGGCATTAATTATGCTGAATGGCGAGAATGTGTGAGTGAGGGTAACTTTTCTTTTTTTTTTTCTTTTGTCCCTGGGGCCTTGACAACTTCTGTGATGTTTGTGAAAAGTCAAGAAAGGAGAAAAAAAAAGCGTAAAACTGCATTGCACTCGGGTGTTGTTTATGCATGAAACGTGCCTTAAAACCATTCTCAACTCCACGTCTCTGTTTTCCGATGGTTCCTTTATAGTTTTACAGTTTCTTTTTCCCCTCCCCCCGCCTCATCGCTTTTTTTATAGTTGACTGACACAATTTTCGCTCATTATGGAAGCTGCGAAGGTTGCTCCTTCTTGTCTTATATTCTCATTTTGCATTTTGTTCGCAAAGTTTTTGCCTTTATTTGCCTCTCCGCCCAAAAGAAGTTTTTAAACGCTTTATTGAAACAATTTCCGTTTTATGAAAATGCTCGCGCAGCTTGCAGGAATATTTCATTTTCGCTGTCATATATCAAAATGGTGTCAAGCATACGCCATGTTGGCCGGCCAAAGAAGCTGCAGTAGCAGCAAAAGCAGCAGCAGCAGCAGCAGTGGTATCAGCTGCCAGCAAATGCAAATTTAATGCGGCGTGCAGTGGCATAGCCATATCCCATTCCATTTTCGGAGCCAGGCAGCAGGTGGTCCCGATGAAATGACATCATTTAAATTCATGCATGACCCACATTGCACCTCAGCAGGATGGCGATGGCTACGGTGGCGATGGCGATGGTGATGCTGATGGCTATGGTGTGGTGCAGCATCTGCCTTCTTGGCATTCGCCTCGTGTTTTATTAACAAAGCAATTTATTGCATAAATTCACATTGCACTCGTCGGTCGGTTGGTTGGTTGGTTGGTTTGGTTGGCCACACAGTTGCCGCAGGTTCCATCGAACCACCCTTTCCTTTTTAGGGAAGGTGGGAAAAGTTTTATGCTACCCATAATCGTTTAAATTGGAAGAACCTCATGAAACTGCAAGTTCTGCAGGACTTCATTTAAGAGCCGAAAGTGTGCTACATGGTGGCACAGCCGTGCTAAGTCATGTGAGAGGCTGCCACTCGCCACTTTCTACCATACTTACTGGCTTGCCCCATTTTGCTGACTGCTAATTGCTGCATAAATCAAGCGGCAAAACAGCGAGACGGCAGAAAAGCGAGAGGAGAGCGCACAAAACGCTTTAAATAAACTCGGCCAGAACGAAAGTGTTGCAAGAGCGCCGGCACAAACGGTTTTTCCTCCTCCATTTTTTTTTGTTTTTTTCCGCATGCTTTATGGCCACTTGGGGTGCTCCTATCCTCTATAAACCCCTTTCCCCCACCACCCACTTGATTTCCCCACGTTCGCTGGAGGGATATTTATGAGTGCTTTTGGTCAAGCGTTTGCTTGCCAACTGTCCTGCACAGGATGATATATGCTGTGGTGTGGGTTTTTGCATGCGCAACACTGCGTATACGCAATGCACAAATATTTTAATTAAATTTCAAACGAAACGAGTGGATATGAAAGGAGAGCAAACACCGAAAACAGTGGCGAAAATGAAAATGTATTTGCAGGAATAATTTTTGTGTCCCTTTTTTTTTTTGGTGCTTGGGGATATTTGAATATGTAAGGGAATGCACGAAATATTATATTAACTTTACGGTTCGATTTGCATTGAAAGATAATCCTCAAAACAAGTTCGTGGTGCTCAGAAAATTTTAATTGCTTCTACTATTGCAAAATATAAAAAGGAAAAAATTGCTGTTCAGGTGAGAATTTCACTTGTAAATTATATTTACTGTACAAATTGGAAAAATAAATAAATATTGTTCAATGGTTTTAAAATGAAAATATTTAGTTTTATTTCAAAACCATTGAATAATATTTTTAAATGTTATTTTGTCAAAATACCCTTTATTTTAAGCGAGGTATTTTCAAAGTCCTGAGGCACATGCCAAACCTGAATCCACGTTTGTTTTTGAATCCCCGTATTTGTTAAGAAGGCGGCCCCCGGCTTGTGTGCTTTTAATTTTACGTTATGAATGCCGCAGAGCAGGAACCGAATTTGTATTTGCAAATCCTCAACGGAACACTGCGAATTGCTTTAAGCTCTGTGGCGAAAATTTATTTAAGCTGGAATAAAAACAAATTTCAATTCTGTGTCATTCGAAAATTAATTGTTTTCCCCTCGGCCACAATCACTCAATTTGCGCCCATTTCCCATTACTCACGGTCGTTGTCGGCCTTGTCTATATTATATATAGTATGTGGGATAAATTTACGGGGTCGGGGGTCAACAAGTGTGTCGCTGGCTGGCTTTCTTGCTTTCTGGCTTGCCGGCTGGCTTTCTGGCCAACTGCCAAGTCTTGGAACTCGGCTTTTATAGGGCATTTCATAACGCGTGAAGAAATTCAATTAAGTTAGCCTGCGCCTGCTTTGGCGCTTCTGTTTCTATTTTGGCCCAGTGTTTTTATGGCCCGAACAAGCGGCAAACGAAATTAAAGTCAATAAACAAGAGCTGGCGTCTGCGGCCGGGAATTGTCTCTGCCATTCAGTTTGGCCCACGGCGGCTGTCTCTGGCCAATTGGTTCTGGTCTGGTCACAGTTGTTGTGCCACTCTGTGTCCTTTTTATACCCCCTCCCACATTTCCCCCCTCTGGTTGTGTGTGGGGTTTTTGTACTTGTTTTTGGTGCGAGTAAACCGCAGAAAGCCGTCGAAACAGTCGCACAGTTCAGTCGCAGTCAGACAATGGGACATATGAAGTGTATTCCCCGAAGGCCGGAGGACATGACCCAGGGGCCTCGATCCCTCTTAGCATCCCAAACGCTAATGTGGAGCAGCTCAAGGACGGAGGGACCGTGCATAATTTTCAATGGGAAATGGTTGCCATTTGTTGCGCACAAAGGAGGCCATTGTTATGGGGGAAATGTCCTTTGCTCAATTCGTGCGGCACTCTGGAAAATATTTCAGCAGAAACTCTTGTTTCGAGATTGTTTCTTTTCTCAGAAGTACTTGTGAAGGAAATTCCTTTTGCTAATTGGGAAAATATTTTTTCCTTATCCTTTTTGCCTTTTGAACAAGGTTTTATTTTGAACTCAAGAGCAGAAATGTTTCGCATTTGAATTTCTGAAAGAAGAACTGAACTTTTTCTTTAAATATAAGTCAGATGGAGGTGAAAAAATAGTAAAAACGGGTTATTAACAATATTTTTGCTTATAAAGGAACTTTTTAATGTAAGGTTTATAATTTCTATAACTATAACATTTGTAACCTAATCTTATTTGCTTCTAACTTACCCAATTTTTCCCTCCTAAATTCATTGCAGATCCACGACGATCTAGAGAAGGATCCAGACTATTCAGGCTCCGGCTTTGGACCCGATGACGAGGACGCCGAACCCGACCAGCATTCGCACAGTTCGCACAACACGCGCATCTCGCAAAGCGGCAGCGCCGGCGGCATAAACAGTAAGCATAACTCGAACGAGAACTTCGGCAAGAACAGCAAGAACAGCAACAGCGACCTCATCTCGAGTAGATTCAACAACAATAATAATCACAATCAGATCGACAACAGCCAGAATATCAATCTCAATCTCAATCCCAATAATAACCATCAAACGAATAGTGGCACAATCATTGGTAGTAGCACCACAGCGAACAATAATAACCACAATATCAACATCAACAGCCAGAGCGGCATCATCAGTGGCAGTGGTAGTGAGATCGGTGGCCATAGCACTGGCATTAATTCAATCGGTAAAGATCAAGCTAGTCATGTAAATGCAGCACTCGTTGGTGCAACTTCCATACCCGCAATCACTCTTTCAACTTCAACTTCTACAACTACTACTACTACTTATACTTCCAATTCAACAAACACACCAATCCCAACAACAAATACCACAGATACAGATACAGATACAGTTACAGTTACAGCCACAGATAGAGATAGAATATCAGCTAAAGATCGATCGAGTTTAGTTAGTAGTTACATTAGTGTTAACGACAAATCCCCTACCCAAAGATCATACACACCAACAACAACAATCGCATCTCTATATCCAGCAGCTCATACACCAACACAAACCTCATCCACAATTTCAACAACCTCGAGTTCGACACCAGTGCCCGCGACAACGACAACAACAACCACCGCATCAACGACAACAACAACAGCATCCACCACAACAGCAGCAGCAGCAACAACATCCACATCGAAATCGCAATCCAATGTTAATGTTAATACAACAACAACAACAACGAATCCACCAACGATTCCATCGCCACCAAGTCAACCCATTTTCCCGCCCTTCGACAAGGATCTCGATGTGGAGGAGTCCAGTGGCGATGGCATCGATTCCGATGACGAGGACGACGAGGACGACGAGGACTATGACTTCGATAAATTCGACAAGGAGAGCGGCAAGGAGATCGACATCGATGGTCCCGAATCGGAGGCAACACTGCCACCGAAGATCTCCGAGGAAGATGTTATCCATTATCCAACGACGGCGCAAGGAAGTCACCCCGATTTCAACGAGGAAATCGATGTGGATGGCGGCGATGAGGACGACGTGGTTGTGGATAGCGATGATGTTGTTCCGAGAATCGGTGGCAACGATGGAGATATTACAGAGCGCGGACGTCAGTGGTTTTTATTTTTACCATTTTATTATTTTCTTACTTCTTTTTACTCATTATTATATTTGGTCCTTATTTCTATATGTAGTTTTGTGTTTCATTTTGTGTGCTTTGCTTTCTATAATTTATTCCCTGTGTTGTTTGATTGCACAATATTTATGTGTGTGCTTTACCGCACCTGTCTGTACAAAAATATTTACCTTAACTTATTTGGTTTTCAGCTTTTCCCTGCTTTGGTTTTATGATTCCCTTTAAGCAGTATTTTCGGTTTGAAATCGTACTCAGAAACAATCCTAAATAATTTTGCTATCTACTATCAATGGATCAACATATCCAACTTAAAGCCTTAATAAACCTTTATTAAGTATTCCTTTTTTTCTGTGTACCTAAACATACCGACTTTGCTTACTTTAAGTAGTTGTATTTTGCTTTTACGTATACTTGCTTTGCTTTATTTGAGTAGTTTGTGTCTATGCACTTTAAGTACCTTAAATTACAAGTATTTTTTAGTCCAATTACGTTTTACATTTGGTGTGTGTTTAAACATATTATTTGGTTCGAATTTCGCGCTCTGAAAGTCTACGGTCAACGCTGCGGGTGTTCTGCAAGTCCTCTCGGTTTCAGTCTGTCCCAAAATCCCCGTCTTTGTCCAACGACCGAACAATTTACCACATAATTCCAACACACTCATTCATTCACGACCACTTCATAAAATCATTTTTCCCTCTGTTCTTGTCGTTCATTCGATTGGAAAAACTCCCGCAGAGCCAAAAAAAGCACTTCACTCGACCTTCATCGTTTAAGTGTTTAGTGTTAACCTTAAGCTAGATTAAGGCGAATATTTAAGAGATAGTTTAAAAGCTTTTATCGGGACAAACGGCGAGCAAACAATAGACAAAGACAAAGCCATGGCCAAACAATCGATTAAGCTGCAACAGGAAAAGCACTCCATCAAGGAGTCGAGAAGGGCGGTGGCGATGGCGGAGGCGGTGGCATTGGCGGGTGGCGGCATTCAGCATTCTGCAATTGTTGCCCCAGGCATAAAGTTCCATTAACACTGTCCCAAATGCTCCGCCTCCTGCAGTTCGGCGGATGAAAATCGCCTGGAAAATCGCACTAAGTCGCGCAGTGATTTTGCGCTTTGTTGTTGGGGGAAAACACTTGGCGTGCTTCGCAGGCACTTCAAATGAAAAATCACTGAATCCTGGCAATGGCAAGGCTCCACTTTTCTGCCAGCAACCCCTCCCAACGATTCCCCTCGGCCTTTTGCCTGTAACTGTAGCCGCTTACTTGAGGCATTGTTGCTTCCAATATGGCTTTCTGGGTGGGGAACCACTTGGAGAAAAGAAGGGTGTTATAAAAACCAAATAAAATCAATAGCAATAGCTGGCAGATAGATGCCAAAAGTATTCTTTCCACTTCCAAAGACTTTGTTATATCAAGGCTCTAGAACTTTCTTTAGCATCTTAGTTAAAGGAACTCCTTCTTAAAGAACTTTCCCAATTTTGCAAGATTTATTTCCGTGTGAGGCCATCTCTCAGAATCAAGGTTTATGGTCCCCAGAAACCAAGGTTTATGGTCCCCAGAAACTGAAACACCGCCTAATGGCAATCGAAACTCTGTGGGTTTATGGCTTTGCTGTTTGCCTTGCAATTGCCACGCCTCGGCCGAAAACACAAGCACAATCAATAAGGTCTTCGGTCGTCTGCCGCTGGTGACACATGGCACTGGCAATAATTTTGCCATAATTGCGCACAGCTGACCACACGAAACATTCGTCGAGCACACACACATTCTAAGCCAGTGTGTGCTCGATTGCTCCTCCTCGGATTCGGCAACAAAGTGCATTTTGCCATCAAATCCAGACGCACATGAGGAGGCACCTTTATTGGTCCTGCACAAACAGACAAGCTGGAAATCAATGTGATGGCTGGCAAGACAGCGAAGCAATCTCGAAAGCTGGCAAATCCATTTGCTCTTGGAAATCGCATTGAAAAGCAAATATTTATAGCTGCAGAGCAGCGATTCAAAGAAAACTCTCACTTACTCTTTCGCTGATTTCTCGAAGAGTTTGCCGAGCGCATATAAAATCAATTCGAGGGGTTTATTCGCGAGGGCCAATTCAAGGAGCCCTCATGGGTATTACCTAATTAATATGCCGCCCCTCGAGGGAGCAGCCAAGTGTGTGTTTGCGTTTGTGCCAGTGTGTGTTTCAGCGGGTACAAGGGCTAAGTAAGCAATTTGTTTGTCTTAAGCTCTTTGGGGAGCTTAAAAGGGAGCAGGGGGAACAAACAATGGCTGCGCAAAGAATAAGGAGCAAACACATATGCAGAAATCGAGGGGGAATAATATCCGGGTTTCATTTCAATTAAGTACAATTTAAATTCGCATTGTTTGACAGGCGACTGGCAGTAAATTTTCGCCTGTCAATTTCAGGAATGCAAAATAATTGCATACTTTCAAGCATAAGTCAACCGTCGACATTTCGGAGCAAATTATGTCTAGCTGGCAAAGTTTATTCATTTCGTTGAAAACTTTTCTGGAAACTCCTGCTCATCACCGTGAAATTAGCTGTCAGTTTTAAAAGTACATTTTTAGGGAAATGGGTGAAGCGCTTAGCTTAATTCAGAGTGATCTATCATATACTAGACAAATGTTTTATTTATTCTAGCAATAATATATAGCAATAGAACTCTCTTAAAAGAATGCCAAAGGAAATTTATTTGTAACATTTTGATAGATTTAAGTTTATAGGAATTTTCGGGACGTAACACAACGCATTTCGACTAACATTTAAGCCTTGTATATATACTGCATAACAGCTCATTAATACCCGCACAACAGCACACCCATGTTTACACAATCGTATACGCTCACTAAAACCAATATTGACACTCGAATCAATTTAATTGATTACCCACAACACACACACGAAACAAAGAAAAACAGCAACTCTCTGTCTCACACTCTCTGTTATTGTTTGATTTTGCTTGCACGTCATGGGCATAAATGTGCTTTAAACCATCGAATCAGATTCTCATCGTGCATTGTGATTTTTCTTTTCTTTTTCTCTCCCGGAACAGCGGGTGCAGGTGGCAGCAACGTCCACGAATTGGACCCCAATACGAACGTGAACAGCCAGCCCTCCGACACGAAGGGCATCGATCACAGGCCCAACGGCAACGAGGTGGTCATCATGAGCGAGGACGATCGCACGTCGAGCTTCTTCTCGCAGCCCGGAATCCTGGCTGGTGAGTACCTCAATGGGGTTATCTATATATCTATATATTTAATCTATCAATCATCAGTTGAACTAGCAAACAAAAGTTCCTTCGTTTATCAGTGAATTTGATATCACTCATACGCCACGTGTATCAAATTTGTTCGAATACTAAGGTTGAATTTTCGATATAACTCGGTCAAAAATGGTCGCAGAGCAAAAAGATAGACCTTTTTTTTTACAAACTGGTAACCTAAGCTAACGAACCATGACACTTTTTGGCTGATTTTGAAAAATTTATTTTTTGACCATTTTTCGCATTTTTGATAAGGGGTCACATGAGAATTTTTTCTAAAAATTTGCGGTTTTAATGCCAGTCGATTTAGAATGTTTTTCCAAGCTCAACTAGGTATTAATTTCGATTCTCTGACCATTTTTTGATTTTTATACGCAAAATAGTAATTTTTTTTGGAGTAAAAAAATCAAAATAAAGATGCCTACTGATAATCTCCATTTCCTTACAGCTGTTATTGGCGGTGCCGTCGTTGGCCTGCTCTGCGCCATACTCGTGGTGATGTTCATCGTGTACCGCATGAGGAAAAAGGACGAGGGCTCCTATGCGCTGGACGAGCCCAAGCGATCGCCGGCAAACAATTCGTATGCGAAAAACGCGAATAATCGCGAGTTTTACGCCTGAGATAATGGCACGGCGCGCAGGTATTAAGTTGACCACAAGTGCAGGAGCAAACGGTGAGGACGAGGGTACGGATAACTGGACGGAGGCGAAGGAGCGACTGGGTTTGGCAAGGCTCAACTGAATACACTGTGCGGAGTGGAAATTGCGCCATCATCAGCAAACCACTAAAACAAGGATAGTTCATCCGCAGCAAAAGCTACAAAACTAACACAAAAACAATTGAAAACATTTTCAAAAACACACAATTTTTCGTGAGGGGTAAATAAAACTAAAGTAAAACCAAACAAAAACAAATTGGCGAAATAATAACTCAAACAAAAAACAAAAAAAATTAAAAACTTACCTGTAAGTTAAGGCAAACAACACACACACACACAGCCAGACAACCGACTTTCTGCGTGTGTGTGCGTGTATGTATGCAACTTTTCTAATTAAGTAAGTTTTAAGCGAGAAAAACAAACAAAAAATATCAAATATAATTGCAAATAAATCATGCGAAATTTAATATATAAATAATATATTATATATAAATAGTGAAACCAATATAAGGGCGGGCAAAATTAAGCGAATTAATTATGAATTACGAGTATGTAGAGCAAAAGCAGAAGGAGCAGGAGAAAATTGAATAATAATAACTATAATAATACACACACACACACACGCATCCAACTACATAGATGTAAAAGGCAACTTTCGTGCATATTGAATATAAATGTATGGATTATATATGTTAGCTGAATAACGAAAGCGGATTGGATACATCACGATTATCTCTCGACTCTCGATAAACCCCTCTCGAACCACACACTTAACCCTTTATTTCAACCATCATTTGTCAAACGAAGTCCAATGAAAATAATTATATTTATGAATTGTGCGGCACATAAAGAACGGAAATCGATGCATAAATGTTTTTAAGTTATACATAAGCAAAACTATGTAATTATTAGTGTAATTCCTAAAACAAAACAAAAAGAAAACAAAAAAAGCAAAAGCGAAAAAAAAAGAACTAAATCAAGCAAGAAAACAGATTTATGACACTGTGAACCTTCCTGGCCACTAAAAACAAACAGAATTGAAATGAAAAGAACTATTTCTACTTTTTTCTAGAAAACACAAAACCGTGAATATTTATTGAAATGAAATTGGAAAAATGAAACAGAAATCGAAATCGAAAAGAAATGGAATATCGTCAACAAGAAAGCAATTGTACATTAATTTTTAGGTTTCCACTTGGGTTTTAGAGTTATTCGAGATTTTCTTCGCTTGACTCAACTGCTTCTTCCATGGCTAAGAATCAAAATCGGATTACGCATTAATTATTGTGCATTTATTTAGTTTTTACGTTCGCTGTCATTGACAATTGTTTAGTTTTGCAAGCAAAATACAAAAACGAATTACGAACGACAAGAACAACAACAAAAACAAAGAAACAAAAAGAACAACAGCCACAGATTATAACCACATGCAATAGTGAAAATTAATTGTTAAGTTTACAAGGCAAAATCAATTCGAACGAAAGCAGTCCAGCAACAAATGTTATACTCACCCATAATACCCACGCCCTCACACAACCAACCAATTAGCTGCAATACTTGTTTAATTGTTAGTCAACCAATATTCTCTCTCCAACTCTCATGCCATATTTTCATTGCGAAAAGAAAGTTATGAAAAACGAAAAACTAATATATAACATATAAGTATATAATTAGCAACATAAATCAATTGTGTGTGTAACTGTGTATAATGCATAAATAATGAATTAAACATACTACTACTTCGACAGCCGAGCATATAACAAAGGGAAATTTCGAACATCATCAGAACAGAACAGAACAGAACAAAACTATTTTCCCTCCCCGTTTCCGGAATCCAAAGTTAAACTAACACACGAAAAAACACACACGATGAAATCAAACACGAAAAACATGAACATCAGCCACAGCAGCAACAGGAACTAAAACATTTTTCTGACACACAACTTTTTCTACACTGTAAAAAACGCAACCGCAACTTTTTTGATATGTACAAGTACTATATTTGTTCTACTCTCATAGTACGATTTGTCAAATTTTACATCAAGTTTTTTTGCTACTTTGTAAGCGTTTAGTTTGTTAGTTTTTTAAAATGCGCTGAATGTACTGAGAAATTGGTTTTGATTTGCTAAATAAAACTGGTATAAAACTAATTTAAACAACAAATCTCGTTTATTTTCTCTATTATTTTATATCCGTATGAACTATGGGTATTTGCTTCACAGATTAGCCTTCATCAGTGGCTTAAGATAGGTCTCAAAGGACTTTTGGACGGGCTTCTGGTTCATGGTGCTGCGCTTGGCCGCATCGAAGAGTCTTGGGTAGACATTGCCATCGTAGCTGCCCAAAACTGAGTTGAGAACTCGGTCATGGAAGTCGAAGCCATCGCAAATGGCCACCGCATTGGGTCGGAATTTTTCCAGTGAAATTTCCAGGCGTTTCTGCAGCGACCTCAAATCAGCATCGGTGAGGTTGATGAACTGGTTGCAAAAGAAGGTTTTATAAAATCAGTTGATTGTGGAGTAAAAGGCAAACCTTACTCTTAAAATTTCGTTAAGGTTATTTAGCACAGTCTGGACCAGGAAAAGTTCTAGCACATTCTCCAAAACCTTGTTAAGAGCAGGTGAACGCTTTTGGGCCTTGGCTCCTGTGATTTGTTCCACGAAAGTCTGACACACAAACTGTCGGCCATGAAGCTTAAGAATAGAGATTAAGATTAGTAGTATTATTAGTTTGTTTAAGGTATTGTGATATTTTGAGAGAATTATTTTAATGTAGTAAATTTTAATTACCTCAGCTGCACGAACCAACTCAATGCCAGTGTTATTAGCCGCCACTCCCTGAGATTGACCGCTGGCCATGCGATCCGCTAGGTTCTCAAAAGCAATGCGGGTTTTTCTATACGGTAGATAAATAAATTGAGCTAATATTCTCAAGAACCCTTCAAGCCCCAACTCACTGTGCTGCCGTGTACTGCAACGCCTTGATGATGCACTGCCAGGAGTTGTCCCACTTGGGGAACTCCTTCAGCTGCATGGAGGTAGCAAAGTAGCTGTACGAAGCTGACAGAGGCTTCTCTTCCACAAAGTTAGCCCAGGCCTTAACCAAAGCACGTCCAATCTGCAGAAGCAGCACTGTGTTCTCCCCTTCGTAGGTGTAGGCAGCCACAGCATTTCCATAGATGTTGCTTAAGTTGGCAGACGTGAGGTAACCATGACCGCCAGTGGAAAGACGAAGTCGCTCAATGCCAGCACATCCATCGGTGGTGCAGAGAACCTTCAAGGCGCAGGACAGGATGTGCATGTCGGGCAGGCGATCGAACTTGCCATTGTTGGCTTCCTGAACCGTCTGAGCATACATTTCCCACATGTATTCGGCAGCCAGGTGGTAAGCCATTCCATTGGCAATCTCGGGGAAGAGCTTCAGGCGCTGGGTCACATGATCAATGATCTGAGGCTCGGGTTGGCTGTTGGTAACAGGAACTAAGTTGATTCTTCTCTATAAAAAAATCATTAGAACTCACTTGGGTTCAATGGGACTCTGTCGTCGCACCGCCGAATATCTGGTGGCGATGGTAGCCGCTTCCAAAAGACACGTAGAGTTTAAATTAACAATCAGGCAGCGGGTGTAGACCATGGTCAGGTAATTAACCCTCGATGCTGGACTGGCCTTGAAGGTGCCATCGCTTTCCACCTTGGCGAACTTCATCAGCATGTTGGTGCGCGGAATGCGGACATTGTGCAGACCCAGAAAACCCTGATTCACGGACGCCATGCCCAGTTTCTTGCCAATCTCGCCAATATCAACACCAGGCAGTGGCAAATGGGTCTCCGCATCTCTCAGCGGCACAATAAACATTTGCACTCCGTGGTGGACATCGGCTACGTACAATTGGGCCACCACCATGGCGTGATTGGCAGTGTGTCCCACTAAAAGATAAAAACATTCGAAATCAGTAAAGATTCTTAGGTGGAACTGAGGTTCAAACACTCACAGCCACCGGGCCACCACTTGTAAGCCTCCAAGTTGGGCGTGTTCAACACAAACTCATCCGTTTTGGGGTCAAAATCCGCCCGAGTGGCTATTCCACGGACATTGGTGCCATGTGCCAGTTCCGTCTGGGCGTAGGTGCCAATAATGTTGCAGTTCTCCGCCGCCTTGCCCCACTTTTCTATCTGTTCGGGTGTGCCTTGACCCTTGATCACATCCACGAACATGGTGATGTGGGTGGCCAACGGATGATTGGCCGGGAAAAGTCCATGGCTCTGTACATTGAACAGGTATCCACTAAAAAATCAAAGATAAGATAATAGGGGAAGCTTTTTTTGCTAACTTAAACTTACGGCCAAATATCATTTCCTCCTGGATTCAGCTTGTTCTGGAGATCCTTTAGTTTAGTGGCTGCCTCTGCCACTTTCTTCACACTCGAATTGTATACTTCCTCGTGTGACATATACTCATGATCAATGCCGTAGCCTTCTCCCAGATCATCGAAAATTGCCTTCTCTGTTAAAATAAGAGAGAATGTCATTTTGAGTTGCAATAAAAATAATTAAAGACTGAAAACAGAGAGATTTGTCATGTGACACGGGTAAAGGTCATGAATAACAATTTAATATCAATCCTAATCAAATCAAGTGCAACCTTAATTTTATAAATTACAAATAAATAGCGGAATAATTTGGAGAGGCTTGACTGTGATTATCGTTATCACCTGGAGGCGTGAATAAGCCGCTTTTAAACTGATAAGAAACCTAAGCGAGTTGCAATTGCATGTTATCGCTTGTTTTAACGCTACCACTATCTTTATCTATTATTATTGATAAAGCAACTGTTCTATTTTGTTGATTGTTGATAGGTGAGCATTGGTTAATTATTTTGGACTTTGCGGTCATTAGATTAACTCTTTGTACCCTGATTTTCTTTTGGAATAGGTTCGAGGATCAAAACCGGTACCATGTCACGTACACCTTTCTGTGTTTATCATAGATACTAACCGATATCGCGCTTGTTCTTAAGTTTGTCTTGACCACCATGCCACCAGGAAGAAAACTCCTCCACATCGAACTCGGCGCCGGTTCGTTCTTTCTGGAGATCTGGATTCACTGTTTTCGGAATCAAATTCTTGATGTGGGACATTTTACCGGGTGTGCAGAAATAATAACGAAAATTATAAAAACTAAACAACAATGCTTCAGAACTGGATCCAACCAACAGCTGTGAGCTCCACGCGACCACTGAGCGAAAGTGAGTGGTGCAGCTAAAAGAAAAGCTTTTTGGGGGGCAAAGTGCACATGGAAGCTTTTTGAAGAGAGAAAGCTGATCGGCAACACATAACAAAGAGTAAATATTTATGCTCAGCAAAGAACTCATTATTTTTACATTATTTTATATAAAATCTAAGATCTTGTTAACAGTATTATTTATAAATAACATAATAAAACAGGTTATAATCACACAAAACACCATTATAAAAGAGGTATAACATATTATATGTTGGGCTCGGCACTAGATATAAGATTACAAAAGTATAAAATATAGTGCTAAGCACTAGATATTGGACTTCATGAAGGGTTTAAGAATCTCATTGAAGGACTTTGGCACTGATTTCTGGTTTATTGGATTTTTAAGTGCCGCATCAAAGATACGCTCATAGGCGTTGCCATCGTAGGAGCCCAAAGTGGAGTTCAGTTGCAGATCACTAAAATCGAAACCATCTACAATGGCCACAGCATCGGGACGCAGTTTTGTGAGCACCATTTCCAAACGATTCTGCAGTTTGGTGAGATCCGCATCGGTCAGCTCAATAAACTGAAAATAAATTCACAATTATCAATTTAATATTTAACAAACTTTATCATAATTTGATGAACTCTAACTTACCCTCAGCAGGTTGCCCATTTGATTGAGTGTCTCCTTGACAAGGTACAATTCCAAAAGGTTCTCCAGAATTCTGTTAAGTGATGCTGAGCGGTTCTTAGATTTAGGTCCAGTGACCTCAGCGGTGAAAGATCCAAATATAAAAGCACGGCCATGGAGCTAAAGGGCGAGAAAATGTACACAGATGTTTAGAAGCCAATAGTTCAAAGTCCAACTATTTCAGCAAACCAACCTCTGCTGCCTGAGTAAACTCAATTCCCGTGTGATTAGCCGCATTTGGCTCAGTCTCGCCCTTAGCCAAACGTTTGGAAAGACTCTCAAAAGCCAGGCGTGTTTTACTGTTATCAAAAAAAAAATAATAATACAGAGTAAAAATAAAATTGTCTGATTATCTCACTCACTTGGCTGCTGCATACTGCATGGCCTTCACCATGTTCTCCCAGGTGCCTGTCCAGGTGCCAAAGTCCGGATTCTTTTGCACCTCAGCAAGATAGCGAACAGTGGGTGCAAGCGGTTCTCCACTCAACACCGATCGCCACGTTTTCATTAAGAAGCGACCGATCTGCAGAAGCAGGACTGTGTTCTCGCCTTCGTAAGTGCAAGCTGCGGTGGCATTCACATAAAGGTTGTTCATGTTGGAAGAGGCTAGGTATCCATGGCCTCCACAAGACAGTCGCAATCTCTCCACACCAGCAGTGGAATCAACGGAGCTCGTTACTTTTAGAGCGCAGGACAGGGAATGAAGCTCCGGCAAACGCTCGTATTTGCCGTTTTCAATATCCTTAATGGTCACATCGTACAGACCCCACAAATATTTAGCTGCCAATCGGTATGCACAACTGGTGGCTATCTCCGGGAAGAGCTTCATTTGCTGGGTAACATGATCTATGATCTGGGGCTCGCGTTCCCTTAAATGGACCAAAAAGTTAGCTTGCTTCGAATGTGTTCCTAAACATCAAAGGCTTACTTGGGATCGATGGGACTCTGACGACGCACCGCCGAATATCTTGTAGCAATGGTAGAAGCTGCAGCTAACATTAGGGAACTATTCGTCGCAATTACACAGCGCGTGCGCACCATTGCAAAGTAGGTGAGCACATTCGCGGGACTGCTAATATAGGAGCCATCAGCGTTGACTTTGGCATGTCGCATCAGCATGCGAGTCCGTGGAATCCTTACATTTTTCAGGCCCAGAAAACCATTGTTCACCCCAAGGAAGCCCATCTTTTTGCCAATGTCACCGATGTGGACTCCCGGCAGTGGTTCGTGGGTCTCCTCATCGCGCACCTGTATGAAGAACATATGCGGTCCCTTGGATTTGTTGTCGATGTAGAGTTGAGCCATCACCAGGCAATAGTTGGAACTGTGACCCACTGAAAAAGGAGTGATAAGATATGTAATCTAAAAAAGAAATAAACCAAATTATTACAAACTTACAGCCTCCAGGCCAAAACTTGTAGGAGGAAATCTTGGGTGTGTTGAGAACGAATTCATCGGTTTTGGGGTCAAAGTCCGCCCGTGTTTCCAATCCGCGCAGATACGTTCCGTGACCCAACTCAGTTTGGGCATAAGTTCCGCAAATCTCGAAGCGTTCCAATCGCTTGCCAAAATCCTCATATTGTTCGGGAGTGCATTGAGCTTCCAGAGCTTTCACCAGCATCACGTACATAACGCCAAACGGATTTCCACCGGGAACGAGACCCCACATCATTTGACTGTCATAAAGCTTTCTGGAAAATAAATGTTTTTTTTTATAACATTTTTTTTAATTTTAAAAAGAGACACTTACGGCCAGTAATCATTTCCACCAGGATTCCGTTCTTCCTGCAGACGACGAAGCTTCTTGGCCGCATCAATCGCTGCCTTCACAGAGAACTCGACGATCTCCTCGTGTGATTTATTCTGCACTTGAAGCATACCAAGGACATCCACATCCTTTTGCAAATAGTCACCTGGCCAAGAAAAGAACAAACAGCAAAGTCAGCATGACCCTTGAGTTGTTTTGCTAACTGATTAGATCAGTGATTAGTTTTATGGACTTACGAACGCCGCGGTTGAACTTTAGAGTCTCTAGGTCTCCCGCCCACCAGGCAGCGAATTCTTCGCTGCTAAAGCTAGCTCCATCACGTTCCTTCTGCAGATCGGGATTAACGGTTGTCGGGATAACGGAAGTGGCCATTGCAAGGGAATTTATAGAACTCTGACCTAGTCGCCAAGAGAACCAAATGCTAACTGAAAGCTAAACCGCCGGCGGCTCACAATAAATAAAAGTGAAAACGGTCAACAAACTTTGTAAACTTCGCTCTTTTGGTCCAAATGGTTTGCGTGAGAGCCTATGTGCGTTTTTTCGAGTGTTATTTCTCGCTCTGTTTTAACCGTTATCTTCGTGATCGCTGGATCCTAGGTCAGAATTAAATTGTATGTTTGTTTTTCACTGCCTAATTAGGACGATAAGCAACTTGCGAAAACGATTATTACTTTGAGATACCATAACACTCATAATTTTGTTTGCCCATACAGTCCTATTAGTTCACTGATAACACGTTTTAGATCGCTGTGATCGTACTTAGCATTAAAAATCGATAGGAACTATCAATAAAGATTATGTTCGAAAGTCATAAAATATGTATATTTTATAAAGCTATCTTATCTTTAAAAATGTTTGGTACATGTTTAAAATCTTAATTCATTTTTAAAAGTTGAAAACAGTTTATTAACAGCACTGTTAATTTATTAAATTACTTTATGTCTATTAACATCACTGTTAAGCTGTTAACTATCAGAAAAGTTATCGTACCAAGGAATATCGTTAAATTGCCATCTCAATTGTTTTGTTTTGGTCTTAGCGCGGATTGCTTTTAATTACCATAATGCCCATAAACTTTAATATTGGCCTGCTCGGGCATGTGGACAGCGGGAAAACCACTTTGGCCAAGGCTCTAAGTTCAATTTCCAGCACGGCAGCCTTCGACAAGAATCCTCAGTCGGTAGAGCGAGGAATCACTTTGGATTTGGGCTTCAGTGGACTTTTGGTGGATCCGCCTGCGAATTTCTCTCAAGGAGAGCAACTCCAATTCACCTTCGTCGATTGCCCGGGGCATGCAAGCCTCATACGGACTATTATAGGAGGTGCTGACAATGTTGTATTCAATAAAAGAAGATTATTAATCCACTTCTTTTCAGGTGCCCAGATCATAGATCTCATGCTTCTCGTGGTTGACGCTCAAAAAGGGATCCAAACACAAACTGCAGAGTGCCTGATTATCGGAGAGTTGCTGCAGAAAAAGCTGATTGTTGTGATTAATAAAATAGATGTTTATCCAGAGGACCAAAGAGAGTCAAAGCTGGAGAAACTTCGCTCCCGTCTTGCCAAGACTCTAGAAGCAACCAGTTTTAGTGGTGAAGTGCCCATGTATTCAGTGTCTGCTCTGGAGGGAACCAACATTACTGAGTTAAGAAATGGATTAAGAGAAGCCTTTTTTCAGCCCGTAAGGAACGTATCTGATCCTCTGCTGATGTATGTTGATCACTGTTTCGGAATAAAGGGCCAAGGAACCGTCTGCACAGGTACGCTGCTCCAAGGAAGGGTTCAGGTAAACGATGTAATAGAACTACCAGCTTTGGGTGAGCAGCGAAAAGTGAAGTCCATGCAGATGTTCCGCCAAAACGTAACCAGCGCCTCAATGGGCGATAGAATTGGCCTTTGTGTTACCCAGTTTAATGCCAAGCTGTTGGAACGCGGTATAATTACCCAGCCTGGTTACATAAAACCCATATACGCCGTGTGCCTACAGCTAAAGCCAATCCGCTACTACAAACATGCCATAAAGTCGAAGAGCAAACTCCACATCTCCGTGGGACATGACACAATAATGGCAAATGTTACTTTATTTCGCGATATGGACAATCCATCAACAGAGTTTCAGTTGGACAAGGAATATGAGTATGTGGAGGAAATTCAAACAGCGGAAGTTCTTCCCACTGAAATTGTATTCGCCCTGCTGCAGTTTGAAACTCCTGTACTGACGCCTCCAAATTCAACCCTGATTGCCTCTAAACTGGACATGGATGTGCATAGTAGCAGCTGTCGATTGGCCTTCTGGGGACGAATCTCCTGGCAGACTCAGAGTTCGAAATACATTCAAGATGAGCTACCAAAACTACGAGTTTTCAAGCGCAAACAGAAAGTAGGAAACATTCAACGTGTTGTGAACGCCAACGAAGTGATTGTTCAGAATCTTTTTAAAAAGGAAGCTAAACGCGATCTGTACGTGGGAAAGTTGGTGGAGCTTTCATCTGGCGAAAAAGGTCGTATTGATCGTACTTTTGGTCAGACCTCGAAAGTTGCAATTACCTTTCCGGAAGCTTTGTCGCCCGAAACAATAACTAACATAAAGAATATACAAGTTTTACTTAACTGTAAAAAGTATGTGTTTAATAAACAGGCCGGCCTGTTTCAATGACAAATTCTGAAGTAATTTTCTTGTGGGTTGTTTTTTATTTGGAACCTAAAAAAATTTTAAATATTCCGCCAAAGTGGAAAATAGGTTTGTCATCGATTTTAGTGCTACATAACATTTGCGCTAAACTCGCAATATATTAACAGCCCCGTCCTAAATGTGTGGTATATTTTTAGTACACAGCAAAGCCGTATATTAATAATCGTGAAAAACTATCGATGACAAGGTAAGCGGCCAGCTCATCTCTATCCCAAATGCCAATGAGTCCAAACAACAACAATTTGGCCCCCGCGAACTGCAAAAAACAAAACATCGAATCAGAAACGAAAACGAATAGACCCCGTGTCAAAGAGCAACCGCCAAAGAGAGCACCACCAACCGAAGTCAACCAAAGAGGCCAAAATCAGACCACCCATGTTCCCAGTGCATCCGCTTCTTCCGCTGCTGCTGCTCCTCCTATTCTGCGCCGAAAAAAGCCACCAGATCAATGTCGACTGCAACGAACTGCAGATGATGGGTCAGTTCATGTGCCCTGATCCGGCGAGGGGTCAAATCGATCCAAAGACCCAGCAGCTGGCCGGATGTACCAAGGAGGGCCGCGCCCGCGTCTGGTGCATCGCCGCCAATGAGATAAACTGCACGGAGACGGGCAACGCCACCTTTACTCGCGAAGTGCCCTGCAAGTGGACGTGAGTATCCCCTAGTTGTCATGAGTACAAATCTCCTAATGAATCTGCCCACCCACAGTAACGGCTATCACCTGGACACCACGCTGCTGCTCTCCGTCTTCCTGGGCATGTTCGGGGTGGATAGGTTCTACCTGGGCTATCCAGGCATTGGGCTCCTCAAGTTCTGCACCCTCGGTGGCATGTTTCTGGGCCAGCTAATCGACATTGTGTTGATAGCCCTGCAGGTCGTTGGTCCTGCCGATGGCTCTGCCTATGTGATACCCTACTACGGGGCCGGAATCCACATCGTGCGCAGCGATAACACCACCTACCGACTGCCCAGGGACGACTGGTGATGGTTAAGGCGGCACAGCGCCTGGTGTACAGTAGATCACGTTAAGTCCTTGTTATACCTTAAGTACGGCTTATGACACTAACAATAAGCAACGACTGCGGAACTACGATTCGATTCCGTTCGGATCGAGACTCTGATTAGTGCATTACGTACCCTAGTTGATAAGTGTAAAGATTGTTGCCACCCCTCCTTTGCGTAGCCTAAGTTGCATTGTTTAGTCTTAGTTACCACTGTACATGGTCCCGCATACAACTCTACATCTGTGTAAAATTGTATAGGCCGCATAGACAAATTGTTTGCCAATATAACTAACGATTTTAATCAGTTCCCTGTGTTTGCCTTTCCGTATCGGGCGCGGGATTGCCTCTGTCGCGCGGCAGACGAACAATCACACTTCTTGGCAATATAATTGGCCCACTTGTACTTTGATCTCGCTAACATTTTCGGCGTGACAGAGACTGGTCAACAAAAGAACAGAGAAACGAAAACGCCGGCGACATCCCGCGTTGTTGACGTTGACTCACCGGCGAAACGCCCAGACGCCAGAGCAAGCCGACGGAGAACGCACAAACCGGGCAATCGGATGGGAAAGACGGAAGCGAAAGGGGCCGGGGATCGGTTCGGAAAACATTTGCTCTTCTGGCCCTTTCATCTGATTGGCATTTCCGAAATTATCAGCGGCGACGCATCAGCCGGCGAGTTGTTCGATTTTAATTGCATGGCCGAAGTCCTCTGTAATTCGATGCGTTTTAATTAGGCTCTCAATTAAGATCAAGTTGAGTTTTTATCTTGAAATGGGTGACTGTTGCGTATAGCATGCAAATTTGATGATTGACCGGTAGTGTTTCAATTGCTTAGTAAAGATTTCAATTAGTTTTTGTGTTCTTACTTTTTATACGTTTGCAGAGGATATTATAATTTTAATATAAAAAGACAGGAAAGGAAAAAAATTATCACGCCGTTGTTTTTCATTATATCAACTTAATTTCTTCCAGATGAGGTTGTTTAACTACTATTGAATTTCGAATTGAATTGTATTGAAATCGGATAACTATAAAAATAAGGATTGTATTCTAACTCTCAAACCAACTGCAATTTTTATGATACAACCCCTTTCAAAATTTCCAAAAAAATGGGTTTGTTGAAAATTTATTAAAATTCAATACTTGTGAGTCCATAATTTTAATATTGTTTAGATGTTTTTATATAAATAAATAATTTAAATAAATTTTATTTAAATCTGACGACAATATGGAAAATTAAATAGAAAAATCGTCATAACTTGTTTTACAGTTTGAGAGCCACTATCATCATTAAGCTTTCGAAACGTAATTTTGTTTACGTGGTTTTAAAATTTAAATATTTTAACATTATCAATATAAAATCATTGGTATGTAATTAAGTTGTAATCAAGTAAAATGGAACATGTCAGTGTTTTTCAAACCTTTTTAAAGCAAAGTTTTAGAGCCACTCAGAATCCAGAAAACTGTACACAAATGGGGCATTGTTGAACGTTGGCCCAGGCAACGGTAAGTAATACTACACAATTGCCACGCCCCTCTTGGCAATGCACTGACCCCAGCCACGCCCACCGCCCACTTTATTGTTATGTAGACAAGTGGACATGCGGAGAAGAGCTTTTCAATTAGCCCGGCCAGAAGTTGACAATGTGTTGTTGATATGTCGCCGTGGATCCACTGGATACACCTAATTACAGTGTGAGTGTCGTGCCGCCTGTGTAAACATCAAAGGGGGAGGAGGGCCGGAGGGGTGACAAGGAGGGGCAGCACACAGAAAAAAATAGGATGTTAATATATACATATTTTAAATTTTATTAGTACTCAATAATTTTCTTAAACTGCGATAGATATTAAACAATTTTGTAATAAGAAATTTCGTTCTCAACAGGACTTTTGAACTAAGTATATTTAATATTATAACAAATTGCAGTATTCTTGGTTAACTAACACAAGGAACTAATTTATTTCTAATTTATACTTATAATTCTTTTAATTTTGAGATGCAATTTTTTGGCATGCAGCACTTCATCTATGTCTGCAAACATTTCCACTGCTTTTGTTACCTTTATATTGATGTATAGTACATTTTGCTACTGTTTCTTTTCCATGAGGCGATTGAACTCTGCACCATTAGGGAAATTTGAGCAGCTTGTTTGTAAGCCGGCTATTTGTTTTTGGGGTGCGTGTGGTAACCTTATGGAAAATGCCCAGATCGCGCAGATCCCCCCGAGATTGTTGACTCTCTGACTGGCCGCTAACTATTTCACAACTCCCACCGAGCTGGGGTTATTTAAACAGGGATTATCCTCACCTGATTCGCCTCCAGAAATAGCCACCACAATTGCGACCGAGTCACATATTGGCCAATTGCAAATATTTGCCAGTATCAAAATAGAATCGATTCGATACGCAAACGGCTTCGTATTGTATATATAGCATCATGGATTGTGGGTAATCGGGGTAAATAAGGGGGTGGGGCTGGAGTGGAGACGCTCGACGGGTTTCTTATTTGCTTAGAGCTTAGGAGCTCAACGCTTAATTACGCTCAAGTGGCGTGGAAAATTGTGGGGCGGGATTCTCAGATTTCCACCACCGCCCACTCGACCCGATGACGTTTATGCCAAATTGCTTTGCACTTTGTTTACAAGAGAGGAGAACCTATGCAAATAGCAAACGGCATTTAATGAAACGCAATTATTTAATTTTACAGACTGCGTCACGGTTCCCACCTGGCTGCATATTGCACCGTTCGCCTCATAAATAATGACTGGGCAACCTCCAGTGACAAAAAGTCCGCGGCCTGGGAAACGGCGCTCAGGTAGAGCTAAAGCTAACTCCAAAACCGAAACCAAACCATAATCCAAGTCGAGTTTCGTTCGTGATAAGTGCAATTTTCCAGCCACAACTACAGATACAATGAGTGCATAAATCATCTCCAGCTCAGCTGCAACTCCATGGCATTTTCTTAGCGTGCCGCGGCAGCTTTTCCAAAAACCAAAAAAAAAAGCACAAAAAAAAAAAAATAGCGAAAAACCACCGCATAAATGTCAAATGCCTGGCAGTTTGATTTGGCCGCGGGTTAAGTGTGAATTATCCCAGGGCCTCGGATCTCTCAGCACCATTTGTACGCTGTCTCATCTGCAGAATGCATTTAGGGGCTTTAAGTGCTATTATCGCATCCGAGACAAATGCCATAAGACACATTTCGGATTGCAAGTTGCAGTCACGGCAGCTTTTTCGATTATAATGAATGGACTCATTCATGGTGGGAAAGAACATGCATTCGAATTATAGTAAAACTAAAGGAGGAAACAAAGTATTTACCGAGCTATTCATAAATTTATTATTTTTATCAGTTAGTAGGTCTTATTGACATTTACTTAAACGCCTTATAATGAATCGATTTATAAATATGGGTGTTCTTTAAATATTTTTACACATGGGTTATCATGAAATTCCTCCAACACAAAGATATATAAACTTACTATTATCAAAATTTTTTAGGTTTTCATTCATAAAGAAAGGGTTCTACTCCTCCAACAGAATGATTCATTGTTTTTGATAACAATGGTGAAATTACCATAGGAACTATTTGTCTTTGATGACACATCACTTGTCGTTTGTCTTGAAAGTAGTTTTCCAGGTGCTAATTTCACGTGACTTTCGTTGGTTTCAAAGTTCGCTAAATTCACCTGACACTCACTGATCTAATCAGCCTTGTTCGCCCACTCTTGAACTTCATTTCATTCATAGTTTGAGTGGGGTACAATCTAATCGATACTACGACTGGGGAATGTTATTATCAGACGGGGAAAAGACCCCCGACACGCGGAGCTGTCAAAACAAAGAAATCGAGGCAGACAGCGCGGAATGCCAGTTGACAAATTCTAATTGGCAAAAGTTCCCGGAATCGAATCGTATTGAATTAAGTTGCTTACTACTAAGGTGTGTTGAAGCGCCGGGCGGCAGGCGGCGGGGCGCCTCTCATGTTCGCCTTGTTAACACTTTGCCACCGCTTAGGTGTTCAATTCACCGAGGAATGTGTGAATGTAGATTGAAATTCGATTTTAATGGCAATTTTTGAGGGCTGCGCCTTTGAAGTCGCTTCTTTGTTTGTCTGTGACCGCAGCACCAGAAATATAAACAGATAATTATTTTGTACAGCAAAAATCACAAAATATTAGATAGGTTTTTTTATCTTAACAGAATACTTAATGACATATATATTTATGACGTACTTTGTAGTGTTCTATCACAATAATAGTGCTATGTGGTATCACAATAATATGGATTAAAACATATTTTATGATTTAGGGTAGACGAAAAATGTGAAGTATCTTACATATATGACAAAATCTTATGATGGTTGAGATTCCTATATTTGGTAAAATAAAAATTAAATAGATACGATTTTAAAGACTTAAATAAATTTATTTTATTTATTTTATTATATATTTATGATATTATTCATTTTGTTTCGTAAAAGTTTCACCAACGTGTTAACATTTGGTTCCTCTACGCATTATAAATTCGTATAATGGTACACTAACAGAAACAATGTAGTTTCAAAATTTTGGATAAATCTGTCACCAGTTATAACGTTCGGATTGGCGCTTTTCTTGGGGGTGAAACAAAGTATCTCAATCGTGCAAGAGCCGAGCGCCAAAAGAGCGCCGCGTTCTCTCTCGTGTGGCTAAACTCGCGTTCGGGTTAACAGTTTGTTTTGCTGTTGAGTCTACAGACTGCTAAATGTTAAGATACTTTTGAGGAAAAATTCGAACCGTCAGTTCTCATCTAGCTGCGCCGGCGAGCGGTCCGTTTTGAAAAGCGCTCGTGAGTGGAATTCGAAATCTCGAATTGCTGGCCAGGAAAATCCCTCTGTTGTGTGGGAAAACTCGCGCGCGATTTTCCCGTTCGCCGAGGCACGGACTACAATCGTTTGCAGAGCGTAAATGCAATTGAAACGATCGTAAAGTACGGCTGAAAGTAAACAAAAACAAAAAAAAAATAGAAAACAACAAGTAACGAAGTTTGTTATCAACGCGACGAGAGCTTAATGCGGGGCTTAGCTTGATTTTCAGATTTCCTGCGTGTGCTAATACGTCGTTTTCCCCACTCGCTGGCCAACTGGGAGCGTTTTCCAGTGGGTCCGGTGAATTGGCGCGCAATTTCATTGAATCGAATTGAATGCAAATTGCAATTGCGGTGCAGCGCGAAATTGAACCTTTGACAGCGACAACGACGGCGACGTCGACGACGATGGGCGCGCACAACGTGGCGTATGCGTAATCTGTGGCAAACGAATCGAAGTACTCGCAATCAAATTGAAATTGAAATGAAATGAAAGGCGCGCGCCGGCTCAAATAAATTATGCGCCAGTGAGTTCTAAGTGTCAGCCGTCTCTTTCCAATCGCGTAGCCCCATCTCTTTCGCGCAGAAAAATAGACCCAAGCCCAGGCAATTGAAAATGCGATTCATATCGGCCCGAGTAGCAACAACAACAACAACAGCAGCAGCAGCAACAACAAAAGTAACAACAAGACAACAGCTACAACAACCACACTGATGATCGTTGGCAACATGTCAAGCATAATTAATTTTCGATTCTGTTTCTGCCGCCGCCGATTTCTTGCCACTAGCACCTCATCTGGAAATCTGGAAGTGTAATTACGGGTAAACTTTGCGTCTTTACTTGTTTTTATTTTTTTTTTTCAATTTTTTTTTTTGTTTTTTGCTTTGTAATTAATCTCTGCCTCTCCCTGATTCCCGATTCCCCGATTTGTTTTTGTTTTTTTTTTGCTTTTCTTCCCGCTCTTTGTTGCTATATTGCCAAGTACGATTTTGTTTTATTATAATGCGAAACATATAAACATTTCACTTATCTGTGTGTATCTGCGAACGTGTGTGCTATCTGCCTTTGTTGTTTCAACATTTTGCGAAAATTGTTTAATTGTTTGGATTCTATTATCACATTTGGCACTCTCGCTCTCGGCTCTCCCTTCTCAAAAATTTATTATAGCCGATCATTATAAATTTGAAAATCACAAGCTGATCAAATTACGAATAAGCAAACATATGTTTGATTGCCTGCCGAGCAATTAATAAAGAACATTTGCATAGCATTTTGTAAAGCGGAAACTCGCTGTTGAATTTAATTGCCTGGCAACCAATTGGGTTTGAAAATATTCGAAAACTTTTGAGGCGTTCTAAGTGTTTTGGGTACACGTACTACCTTTAAGCCGCTTAACAGCTCCCGACTAAGTGAGTGATTAAACAAAGTATCTTAGATTGGATATACATATTCGTATGTGCACACAACACTTTATCTGTTGCCGGGCATGAATCACCGCTGAGACATATTGTTTAACCAATTAGTAACGATGTGTCAAATATCGCCCGGTGATATATAGATAAACTGGCCAACTGTCAGGCCCGGCTGATAAATCACTGCGGCAGCTGCAACTGCAACTGCAACTTCAATTGCAACTTGAATTGTCACTAAGCTAATCGCTGGCAATTTCCTGTATTACATTCACAAAGCCATAAAAAGTATTATCCCTGGGAAGGGAGGCTAAAATAGGGAATACAATAAACTGGCTCATTAGGAGGACGGACGGTCAGAAGGACACAAATACAAATTACGACTCCTGGGGCAATGAAGATGGCAAAGACACAAGCCGAAACGCAAACAGAAGAGCCAATAAAGTGTGCACAGAGAGAAATATAACAAATTTAAATGTGATATTTCATTAGCCAGGAAAAAGTTAAATAATTCCCAAATTTATTCCTAAACTAAGAGATAATTCCTTGGCTTGAAGTTTTATTAGTTTTGAAACCTCTTGAACAATTAGTAATGTTTCCTTCTTCGTTATCCTTTTTTCGAGTGATGAAAAACCTTGGAAGTAATGAAAACCAACTAATATCTTTCTGTGTAAATACTGTTGGTAATAACTGCGCATTGCAGGGGGATCCGTTGGGGGCGTTGGGGAGGGAAGAAGCCAACGCTACATGGGTTAATATGAATGTGCGCCGGCATGTCCATGAAATGTCCATAGAACAGACGTCTGACTAGCAGTTCGAGTACTCGGCTAAACAGGCGACACACCAGGCCGTGGATGACAGTCCCAGTCGCAGTCGCAGTCGCAGTCCCAGTCCCCATTCCAATCCTCCTATCCTCCGATTCCCAATCCCTCCGATCCCTGATCCCCAATTGCAGTGGCAGAGACAAACGGACGGACTTTCCCGTACTGCCTAGGTGTCGCTTTTTGTTGCTGTTGCTGTTGCTGTTGGTGTCTCTGTTCGCTTTATAATAAAAATGCAACCATACCAGTTTTGCCAACTGACAACTCACATACACAGGCGGCGGGGCCAACTCGTTTGCCCCTTCTGCCCACCGACCAACATCAGCAACAACATCAACATCGGCAACAATAACAACTGCAGCTACAACTACGAGCTGCATGTGAATTTGGTTTCAAAAAACTATGTGTTTATACCCTTGGATCAAGGGTAATTGAAGTGGATGATGTTGTTTGCTTAGCAGTCAGGATGGGCAATTGCTGGGGGAAATTAGTTGGGGAGCTCTTGAATTAAAGTAGTTAGAAGTGTAGATGGCGTTAAAAGCTTAAAACTACTGAGTTAAGTCCCTGTTCAACTTTTATTGTTGCTATAAGAACTTCATTAAGATGTATGCTTTTAAGTCTTTTGTATTAGTAAATAATGTAGGTACCTGTTTATTTTATAAACAGTTGAGAAATTGGATTTTTCATGACTTTGAACTACTTTTAATTTGAATTGGTACCACTTAGTTAACCAATTTATATCCATTTGTTTTTCTAGTTTTTAAAGCAAGCAAATGGTTTATTTGTAAACATTTAAATAAATAAAGGCTTTCCGAGTATTTGAGGGCTTAAGGGGATGGTCTAGCTATCCAGAGCATTTCTTATTCGGTACTTTTGATCCATTAAATCCGATTCCTGTTGCAACTCTCTCTCGCTCCCGTTGGCCCCGTTCACGCACCTGTCCGCGCAAAAAGCCAGGCGGTCTGCGATCCGCGATCTGCGGTCTGCAATCTTCGGCGGGTCTTCTGGTCTGCAGGTCTGCTCCACACACACTCCACACACACTCCACGCTCCACTCGAGCGATCTGCTTTCCGCACAAACAACACTCCGCCCGGAGAAGTTTTTCCTCGCGACTGCAACTGGTGACTTTGCAGGTGTTTTGTTTGTTTGCTGGACTTGATTATGCTGCCGGCGGAGAGGGGTATTTTGGAAACAGAGGCAAGGGGATGACAGGGGGGGAACCGGCGGCACTGCCTGCATAATAATAATCCGGCAATTAAAATATGATCGCATAATAACTCGACACTCGCGCGTCTGCTTATGATTTATGGCCCAGCTTGTTCGGCCAGCGACTTTTAGCTTATTTATAGAGATGGTCCGGCTATAGAGCGCCGATTCCCGTTCTCCGGCGAATTCTTCTAGCGGGGTAATTGTGTGGCTGCGACTACTTTTTCCGCCGCTTGTTCTTCGGCTCTTCGCATACTTTTGCATTCGCTTAAAGGTAAATTGCTGTCGCCAAGCGCCAGACGCTCTAGGAGAAACCCCTCGCCAACTAAGGCCCCCTTTCGGCCCCTCCATCGAAGCTTCCCCCTAAACAACCCCCTTTTTAAACAAGCCGGCTTGGCTCGTTTCGTTTTGGCAAAACCCAAAACAGAAGACCGAAGAGCAGGCGAAAAAAAAGTAAAAAAATAAGACTGAGAAGCAAAAAGCAAAACATTTGATACGCCTCCCCTCTCGCGTTTAAGCCTCCCCCCTCGACTCCACTTTTATGACACGGCCTGTCCGACTGTTGCTTCTAATAAATAATTTTAAATGCTGACTACAAAACGAAACCGAACGAATGAAGTGAAGTTTAAGTGTAACCCAATAGCCAAGTCGCGTTCTTAATTGCCTGCGTGGGATGTGGGGCTGTGGGACATGTTGCTGCTGCTGCTGTGTCTCTCTTGTTGCTGCCGCTCCGAGATGTTGCCACAGTATACTATACAGTATAGTATAGTATATATAGTATAGTGTGTGTTGCAGCTGTGCAAAGTGGGCCAAGTGCCCACTTCGGTGGGTCCAAGTCCAAAGTCTTGACACGCATCTCGGGGGTAGTTTCTCCGTTTGCCAGCCTCTGTTTCCCATTTTCATTTCCATTTCCCCGTTAGATGGATGGCTTATGACGTCAGCCTCTTTGTCGCCATATGTCTAGGCCCAAACACCACGCACACCCCACACACCAACAACACACACACACACACTCTGTCGATGGGGAAAAAGCATGCGTCATCGCAGCGTCTGTCGATTGCAATTTCACCAGGCCCCCAGACAATTGAGAAGGGAATCCAGCGATGGCAAGGGGTCTTCTGCGTCACAACAACCAATGATAATTTCGCCATGACACGCAAAGCACACACACACACTTGCACACAAAAAGTAACACAGCAATTTTCCTTTTTTGTTGTACAATCACAGAAACTAATTAATATTTGCAGAACAATACACAGCTAATAAAAATTCCGCTGATAAGATATTAAAAATAGACAATTCCCCCCTCGTTGTCCCTTTAACGATATCTCGAAGTGCTGGTTCTGCCAGACTAAACGGCGTGTACTTTGGCGATTAGTGGAGTATTTCGAGGGGTAATGAAATACACTTCGGAGAGGGCCATTAAAAAAATATATATACCATAAACGATATATGCAAAAATGGGGGTGTTCCAATAGCCTGGGAAACTAATTAAAATAAATCTCTTAAAGGAATTGTAGCGTGTAACGAAGGTATTCTGTGGTGAGTTCTAGGATCTGTCCTTGCGGGTGCACACTATAGGGTCCGGCTCTCGCTCGTCTGCTTTGGGGGTGGAGGTCTTGCTTAGACAAATCCGCACACTAGCTACATATTATTATTTTTAAGACCAGAATTGAGTGTGCTGACGAAAATAAATGCGAGATATCAAAATCAGAAGAGAAATAGATAAAATTCAAAAAAAACAAGAGATAGAAAAGATCGAGAAAAGTTAGAATCAGCGATGCCACAGATGTTGTCGTGGTCGCGAAATGCCCACCCTACCTATGATCACCATCCTTCAGAGCTAAACTCCGGTGACCCCTAATACCCTACGATTGTGGAAGCATCAGCCGAGTTAAAAAAAACGTGAACTACTCGAAATTCATTTCAAATACAATTTAATTAATAGTTATACAAGAATTCATTATTGTTATTTGCTAACAGGTAGATACTACAAATTTTATATAAATATAATAAATGATATACAGGCGATAAAAATACTATTTAGATACTTAAATATTTAAATGATGTTATCCTCATAAATTAAAGTAGTTATAATGTTCGTATATATTTAAAAAGATAAGAAATAAGAAAAATATAGGGTATTCAGATATCGTACTTCACCAATAAAAAATATTACTCTGGTATAACAATAGATATTTAAATTTCATTGCTTTAATTTATTTTTTTATTTCACTAAATCATCTTCATTCTGTTTGATATCTTTTTGTTTAATTTAATTTAGTTTAGTGAGGCTATCGGTTCAGGGTTCTTTTAAATTCACAGTTTCATTCAAGTAGATTGTTAAAAATTATTTCATAGAGTATTTCGCAATAAGATATAAA